GGTTGAGTTTTTGGGGCTGGCATCTAATGTGCTGTCAGCTCATTGCCGCCGCTGCGCCTGGCCAGCCACATCCCAGCCCACCACTTTGAGGCGTGTGTGCAGTAATTATGAGGGCATTATGTTGAATCCACAATCGTTATTGCATGGACATGCTGGGAAGCTGTAGACATGGACGGTCAGGACGATGACGAGGAGTGTGACAAGGATGCTGTGCTGCCATGGACCCTGCTTCTTGCGACGCTCCACATGCCCCAACATTTGCGTTATGCATAAACTCAGCATGTTTTCACTATTTGTGTGTGTGTGTGCAGATCCGAGAGATGACTAGCGGATAGCTAAAGTGTGAGTGCCACACACGCCTGTTGGGCTGTCTGCTGTGTCTAAATTGCGACAACATTATTTAATTGAAACTAATTTGCCATTTTGCGGTCGCCATCAAAATATTTAATGCTGCTCCAAGGGGCGTGGCTGCCTCAGCAACTCCTGTGCTTGTTATGTTGACCGGTCGTCAATGTGGGTCAATTTGTGCTCTAGCTCGGCATTTGCCACCAAATGCTTGTAGATGGCTTTAAGCGGGCCCCATTGAGCTGGCACTCTCACTAGAAGTTTGCTCTGAAAATAGACTACACAGAATCACAACCTGTTTCTCAACCATTTCAGACACCTGTATAGCTTGCCATATTTCTCACCTTGTAGAAATTGCACACACGTAAAAAAATTAAGCGCTTTATAGCATGCAACTCGTATAACGAGTAATATGAGAACTATGGGTACTAAGGTACTAAGGCTACTAGGTGCTAGAGCAGATGCTCTGTTTACTTTAACGACTTGTCCTGCAACAACTGCATCAGCAGCAGCAACAACAGCGGGGAGAACAAAAACTTATAGCTGAGCTGTCTAGAGATGAACTAAGGCGACAGCAATCGATGTTGGCTAGAAAAAGGCTAAACACTTGCAGCGAAGCAAAGTAGAACTTTTGAATTGGATTTCCGTAGCAAAAGCAATTCATTTTTTGGTGTATGCCTTATGAATATTTTATGAGCATAATTAAACCAAGTAAAGCAATTAGTCATATAGAGTAATATGATAATATATGCATATAAATGGTAGAGAGTACCCAAACAGGAGATATCCTGCATTTTTTCAGATGTCCCTGTAGATGTGATCATTTAAATAGATAGACGTAATATAGAAGAGTAAAACTTCCGACCCCTACAGTAGGCTTGAACGTCTGGACTACACAATTGAATGTTAATCTGATGTATCTGTCATTTATAATCGCAGATAAATGCGCAATCACTCTGGGCTAATGTCCTTTAGTCAAATTCAGCCTTATACATATAATTGCAAAATCCTTTTTATTTTTTGAAATATTTTCAGTATTCAAATATAAAATGTTCAATAGTTTTCCAACAATAAAAATATATTTAATGTATGAATTTGACGACGAGGCGTTGTTTCGAACTAAGGATTAGACCACCGAAATTTTTAAGCTAGCCATAATAATTGTTAAAAAAAAGCTTAAGTCACAGCATTGTCTGACACACACCCAAGTACACACACACACACACACGCACACATGGCGCATGACACCGCCGGCTGCAGGCGTGGCATAAAGTGAGCAAAACGCACGTGACGCTCATCAATTTGGCGCACTTTGCCTTCGCCGCGCTGTTTTTAATGCGCTCTACCGACTATAGCGTCGACGAGGACGAGGACGAGGACGAGGACTAGGACGACGACGACGATGATGATGATGACTCCCATTCCCACTGCCACTCCCACTCCCACTGCCGCCTCACTCCGACTCGCTGGATTCGTTACTGTTGCTGCACACGATCCTGAACCTGAACCTGGCTGACTGCATCGTTCCGCACATGCTGTGCACGTCGTTCCTTACTGTCTCAGTGTATGCATGTGTGTGTGTGTGTGTGTGTGTGTCACGATTTTGCATATTAATTGCATTAAGTTATAGCCACCGACGCCGCCGCTAGATGGCGCCACATGCGCCACATAGCCCATGGCTTGCAGCTCCAGTGATAATTTCAGCTTGGTAAATCCACTTTGCTGCACATGTTTGGGGCTTAGTTGTCCTGTGCTTAACTGCAATTCGAACTGGCTCGCCCGCAAAACCCGAAAGCCCTGGATAAACGCCACACTCACACACACACACAGACACCCACACACACCCACACACATGTACTATTTATAATACGTGCAGCAACTTAAGTTAACTAAACAACCTTTGTTGCCATGTTCCAAATGGTTCGTCCACTTGAATTTATTTATAACAACATTCTCAATGGGAGCAACGAAATGCGATACGCGGCAAATATATATCTACAGCTACACAAATGCAGATACATATAGTTTTTATACATACATACAAATATTTTCAGATATTTCAAAATGTTTGCTGCCTGTTTGCTATTTTTAACATGAGTTCATTCATAAGCAAATAAAAGTACTATAAAATATGTTCAGATTTTAGCTCTTTATTCTGGCCTTGACGTAAAGATACCAATATGCATACATATCAAAAGTATCTTGATATTATATTATAAAATTGTTTAAATATAGACCTTTTATTTTGAGCTTCATTTGAAAATCAGGTAATTATTCTTGTTTAAGCAAAATAACTTTATTACACTTATTACACAATAACCATTTTTGTATCTTAGAAGTTGATTAATTTTAAATGTACTGGATTTTTATCACGCTGCCCAACACTGAATCTAGTTCTTATGAATCATATGTATATGTAGATCGTATCAGATCTTCCTATCAAAGGAATTTGATTTTATTTGTCTTAATAACTGAGTTTATTTCGGCTTGCACCATATATTTAACTGTTTAACATATTTGACATTAAGTTGGTTGTTTCGCGATATTGTTGCATTAAACGACTGCTTAATGTTATTGTTGTTTTTGTGATGTTTCGCCAGATTTCGCTCCATACTTCTTTACATTCCATATGCTTATTTGAATACTATTGAATGTAAGGAAGCATGGAACTCTCAAAGGCCAAGTAAGCACAATTTAAAAACCATTACAACTCACACACTCTTAACTTTAATATCTTACTTGCGTTGTTGCATTTCCATTTTCCGTTTTCCCAGTCTGTTTCGCTGCTGATTTTCACTTAAATAATGACAATGGTGAATGTAATTGCAACAACAATTGGCAAAAAACATTTTACACAATACTCTGACTGCAATTTTCGGGGCAATTCTTAGCCAACTATAGCGTTTTTTTGTTTTATTTTTTATTTCTTTTTCCTGTTTTAGAACTAAATCCTTGGTATCCTTGTGCTTCTTGCGCTCCGGCTGTGGCTTGCAAATTTTCCTGTTTCTCGTTGGCTTTGGTGGTTTTAGTTTTATTTTGTGCTTTTTGTTAGTGGTTGGGGTAGATGGGGCTTAATACTTTTTGCCGTGCGTTTTTATAGTCCAACTGCAATAAAGCAATTTTTAAGCGCAGTGAAGTGTGTTTATATGTGACTGGGCGTTGTGGGGCGTGGTCCTGAATACAACTCTTGTTCGCGTTGTATCTGCTTTTGTTTTTACTTTTTTTATTTGTTACATTTTTCACGCGCCTGCACAAAAAATTCATAAACTTTTTGCCAGCTGTTTTTTTTCTCGTTTCGTTTTTTTTTTTAATGCTGATTTTTTGCGTGTGTTTGTGTGTGTGTGTGTGTGGGCGCCTCACGGCGCCCGCAATAAAATTGCGCCCTTTCTGTTTGGACTTTGTTTTTTATGCGCATATTTTGCGCCACATGGCCAGAGAGACTGAGAGGTCCACCGCGCGTGCCCCACCGCCGCCGCCTGCTGCGTCTCTGTGTATGGCTTTAGCTTTGCGCTTAAACGGTTTTTTCTTAACATTTTTTGTTATATTTGTTAATTTTTGTATTTGTCCGTTTCTTTTTTTTTTTTCTCTCTCTGGTCACATTCCGGCAACGAAATGTGCCACACAAAACAAAATCCGCGTTGCGCACAGTTTCGATTTCGAGAAACAGATCCAACAAAATCAAAACTTAAAACCATACACGAGATGGTAGTTAACGGCGTGCCCTGGCAAATGCGACTGTCCTCTAAGCGCAGTGTAAACAGACGTTTATATAGGTGCCTAAAATTAAAAACTCGCCAGCCCTCGATTCCGAGACCCACATGAAGCGTCGCAGTCGACCCGTTTGCAGGTCAAGTCCAACACATGTGCTCCGTTATAGTTTTTACCTACTTGAAGAGCATCAACAAATGCGACGCTCTTAATGGCAATACCCACGCGGCGTCGCCGTCGCCGTCGCCGTCAGCGTCAGCATCAGCATCAGCGTCAGCGTTGTTGATGCAGGATGTGGCACATGGATGCAATCTGCAGACACTGCAGGCGTTTCCCAGCGCCCGCCTAAAGTGTACCGGGTCAGGCCTGGCCAGATCAGTCCAGCCAGTCAGACCATGTGGTGCGCATTTTTACAGCAAATCAACAGCTCGAATGTCAAATGGTAATCATATGTTCAAGATTTCGATCTAGGGAAGCTCGCATTCTAAACAGCATTGTAAACAAGAAATAGAGGCTTAAACAACAATTAATCGAGCAATTAATAATGCTCAATTTTAAACAATTATTATGTAAATATCTCACACAGAACAATTAGCTTTATCGCAGCTAGCCTCTTTTGTATTTAAGAAAAAAATAATTACCGAAACTAAATTGACCCATAAATATAAAATATTAACTCATATATTTTTTTTACTGTAAAACTTGTTATTGGTCTATCTCAAAAGGATATTTTTCGTATTATCGTATTATTTTTTGCACCAACTTAGCTTTAGTTTCTGCTTATAGTCACCAATAAATAAATGGGTTCGAACCGGTTTATTTATTTTCCATCAACTACAACAACACCTGAATTAACTGTGAACTCCACCTTTAGTAGGCAGCCGTGTGGCAGGTACTCATTGAAGTTCGACGAACGTCAAAACTTACGAGTCATATGAAATGGTAGCAAAACATTTAGAAACCTTGTAAGCTTGTTGCCAAACAGGCTTTTTTAAATTGTTCTGCAGTAAGTTTTTGTACAGAAAAAAAAGAGTGTTTCACTTAGCCAAAATTTGCTACTATGTATAAAGCTGCTAAAGTGAATTTTAAGTCAATTATTTTAAAAATCAAATTATTTGGCCTAACAAAATTCTCGAGCGGAAAGCGCAAGAAATCCGAAATGGAGCTGGATGTGCTAGTGTTTGGTTCATCAAATATCGACTACATTACGTAAGCGCTTCTCTACAAATCCATTTGCTTATCCATGGAACCCTTCAAATCCTGCAGGTATGTCAATGAGCTTCCCAGGCCCGGGGAGACGTTGTTTGGCATGTACAGGGAACAATGCTATGGCGGCAAGGGCGCCAGCCAATGCGTAGCAGCTGCGAAACTGGGCGGGAGATGTGCCCTGGTGTCCAAATTGGGCCAAGATAAGCTTGGCGATGACTACTTCGAGTATCTGCGAGAATTAGGGATCAATGTGGACTTTGTGGATAGGGCAGAGGGCAAGCAAACGGGCTTGACGGAAATCATTGTGGCCGATAATACTGAGAACGCTATCATCGTGATGGCCGGTGCCAACGAATGCCTGAAGACCCCCGATGTCTCCCGCGCAAAGAAGGTGTTCAAGCGCGCCAAGGTACTGATTTGCCAACTGGAAACGGATGAGAAGGCCGCCCTCTGCGCGCTGAAGCAATTTAAGGGTGAATCCATTTTGAATGTCTCGCCGGTACCCAAAAATATGAACGTAGAGCTGATCAAAGCGCCAACTATTTTGTGCGTCAATAGGTTGGAGGCGGCACAGCTAACGGACCGCGAGGAGATCAAAACACTGCAGGATGCCAAGGCGGCTGCCAATGATCTGATAGACAAGGGTGCCAAGAGTGTCATCATCACGATGGGACCACTGGGCGCTGTTCATTTGTCAAGTAAGGATCGGGAAGTCTGCACCCAGTGTCCGGCAGCGCCAGTGCGCTTTTTGGCCGACACTTCTGGCGCGGGTGAGGCCTTTTTGGGCAGTCTGGCCTACCACATGTCAATGTTTCCAAATCTGAGCCGGGAGAGTCACATCAGTGCGGCCAACATTTGTGCCGCCTACGCTGTTGGGCATCGTGGCACTCAGCCCAGCTTTCCGGGCCCGGAATTGTTCCAGGCGGATCTGTGCCATGCGTCACCGGAGTTCAATGTGATACCCGACAAGGCTCCAACGCCGGAGCAATCTGTATCAGAGCTTCCGCCAGGAGCCGCAGACCCACCCGCCCCAGAAGAAGACCCTAAGCCGGAGCCACCAATGGACCAGGATGAATCACATGAACCAAATAAAATCGAAGAGCAAGAAAAAAACGAACGGGAATCAATTCCAGCATGAGAAACACCTTTGCTAAACTTAATGATTTTTTTTTAATGGACAGAACAAATAGTTTTCTCAAATCCTGGTTTTTAAAAAACTCTAAATAAACGAAAAGATTATTTCTGCAATTTAGATTTATGTCCTGCAAGCCATGCCGCAGGATTTATATTCGCTTAATTAAGCAGACCATTGCTGAAATGTTCTCCCAATTAACATTTTGTGACCAGTGCAATGAAACTTAATCGAACTGTAATGAAAATTGTCAACGTGTCAGCAGCGTTGGTCAAAGTAAAAAATCCGAGAAAAAAAAGAATTCACAATTGCGTATTTTAATTAGCAATTTGCTGTGTGGCCTGTGCATGTATACCCTGTAATTACTTTGGTTGCAAATGCACCATCTACAACGATGTGAAGGATAAGTACAGTGCAATACACTGACTAATTGGATAAAATTTCTCTAAATGAGTAGAAAGGAAATATTTCACAAATTTGTCAGCTGATTTGCGTATTAAGTTAGGAATACGGAATTAATATGACAAAGCATATACCATAGCGAATACGCCCAACTTAACAGCTCTCAGCTCGCTTAATGTATGTTTTTAATGCACTTCGCGCAAATTTTATGCACTTTTGTTAAATTATAATTTCTGTGTAGCAGCAACAAATGGACAAGCCAGTGACAAAATGGAAAGCGGGCAAGAGTTTCGAGAGTTATGTATAACAATAATAATAGCATTGAATCAAAAAGGCGGCTTGGTCCGCATGTAACTAATTATTTAAATGCTATTAAAGCTATTAACGTGTACATATTTTAATTCAAATTAATTAGTGAGCTGCATGCGTAAAGCGGTTAATGTTAATATGTTGACAAGGATCTAAGTGGTTGAGAGGTTTTTAAAAAAAAAATAGTAGAACAACAATTTTAAAGAGCGGAAAAAATATTTTTTTTCCCCTGTAACCACTCTTAACTAGACTAGTTAAATAGAGTTGGGTCAAAAAATAAATATAAATAACAAAAAGGACAAACATATTTTAAAAAACCTCTGGGATTATGGAAAAAAATGTAATAAGCTGAAGCAATGTGCATTATATAACTAGGCATATTTTCTATTCAAATGGACGGTTAAAATACGAAATTAAATTTTATATAATTTTCACAAATCAGCTGAACATTTGCTAACCTCAACTATATATATATATATATATATGATATGTTATAATAGATTATTTCTTTATATTTCCGCTATATACGAAAATAGCGATGAGCCGCATTATTCACCAATCGCATACCATACCTCAGCCACACACAGATACTCACACATTCGCACACATGCACAGGCACAGATTTCTCTGCCGATTTCTGCGCTGCCTGTTTCTCTGTTGTATTTATAACAATTTGCGGCACTCTCCATAAATAGCCAGAGACTGCTTGAAAGTGCACACCAACGTGTTGAACTGAACTTTATCGAGACCTTTTTTTGGTTGGATTTTCTTGCCTTCCACATTTAATCCGCTCACTTTCGCGTTCAATTGTTTTGGATTTTAACATCTTTTCAAACATATTAAAAAGTATTTTAGAAGTATTTTTTAAAAAGCGACTTTTTTAGAGCACTGCGCTTGAACACTTGATCAGTGTTTTTTTTTTTTATTTATTTTTTTTTTTTTTATATTATAAACAAAGCGGAGAGGGCTGGCCGGAGTCAACCGATCTGCACAGCTCGACAACAGAATCGGTAATGCACTAAAGGATGCAAAAAATATTCTCAAATTAATTCTTGGCGCTGTTTGTGGCGGCCCCCAACGCGTTGCTGCTGCCCGTTTCGCCCGGCTATAACTGTACCGGCAGCCCGAACGCACAAACGCTACCCCAAAAAGATCCGAGAATCAAGAATCAAAGAATCGAGAACTCGCAACTGGCAACTGTGCCCGCCAGCACCCACTCCGCTCACCTACCCGTCTGCCAGTGCCGGCGATGATGAGAACTTTCATTTCATTTGTATATGTATTTCAATGTATATATATTTATTTCGTACATATTTATAGCTTTGTCTCGTCTTCTTGTCTTGCTTATTATACATGTACGAGCATGTATATAAGGCGTATATAGCTATTGATATATAGCTTGTTGTATAGCTAAGATCGTCCGCCCAAAATATACCAAAGACTTCGTCGTTGATGTTGTTGTTCTTGTTGTTCTTGTTGTTGTTGTTGTTTTCGGGCTTTTGCTTCCACATTCCGCCTCAAATGATCCACACCACTGATCCTCTTACGCAGGCGCATCACACACACACACACACACACACACGCACACATACACACAGCAAGCAGGCTGTCTATACTTAGCCGCTTTGGTATATACGGAAGATTGGCCGATCGTGGAACCGCTGACTGTTTCGAATGGGCCTCGTCGTCCCAATGCGAACATCGTGCTTTAAAAATAACATTCAAAAACCAAACAACAACAATTGACAGAGATACAATTATAGTGTATGAGTATGTCTAGTCCCACACGATCTAGTATTACGAGCCGATTGTGTTTCGGGTTTTTGGCAACATTTAGCAACATGGGCAATTGCCATGGCCCAACCCGGCCATAGGCATCGATTTGCCATTTCTTTTATTTTCTTTCTCTTTTTTTTCGCACACTCTCGAGTCACTCGCTTTTTTGGGGTTGACATATTTTTGGAAATGTCAAAATGCGTTTGAATTGCTTAATTACTTTTCTTCCACACACACACACACACACACACACACAGACACACAACCGAACTCATTTGGCTACGTCCCAAATGTGGATTGGTTTATCACTATGTATCACTTGTATGTACCATAGTACAGCTCCTCGCTAAGCGTTCCACAAACAATTATAATTAAGTTTTGTTTGTGGACAAATTGGTCTTGGTTTGATTATCTAATTTAATATAATATTAATAATTTATATTGGTTCTACAAACCGTCAACCATCAACTATAGATTAATATTTTAGTTAGCCAAATAATAAATAATAAATAGTAATTAGTATATGCTTTAATTAACGTGTACTTCTTTATTTTAATCCGATCAATACAAATATATAGAATGAAGCTTTGAAAAACATTTACCATGGCAAAAAAACATATTCCCTGAAGGAGAATGAGTTTAATTATAGCTAATTACTGAGGATTTATATATATCCGTTTGTTATTTGGTTGACATATATATCCTATACAATATTCATTTATAAGCACCGAAACCAATAAAGAATCTCTCACAGCGTGGGCCTAAGAGAAGAAGAATATAAGCTCCTGTATGCGTGTCAATGAGTGTGTTTTTAAATTTGTACATATGAAAGGCAGCTAGAATATTTTTAAAGGCAGAAATTCGCGTTATAATAATATATTTTGTTTATCATAAAATGCTTAAATTGCATTTAAAGTATGCGACATGTAACCCTTTTAAGGGCTTAGAAAATGTTCAAGTTTGGCGCTGCGAAAAATGCACAAAAAGCTAAAACACAATTCGCCTTTTAATGTGCAAATGTAAAGCTTAACTAATGCACACACACTCACCCTCACACTCACTCACTCAGGCATATGCGCAAGACTTGCAGATGCACACACACACACACACACACTCGCGTATAATGTATGCATCTGATAGATACAGTCAGCAAGAAAAAGCAGAAGAAATGGAAGATGTCTCTGCTTACATGCGAGCGAAACACACAAATGCAATTTAATTTTTTTGCTCGAATTTGAATGATTTCTCCTTTTTTTTTCTCTCTCATCTTTGGCGCGTATGAAATGTATTTTCGGGTGGCAATAATAGCTTCCAGAGAGCTTCTCGTCCTTGCCGTTAGGTTGATGAATTTGTCTGTCGCTGCTGTGCCATAAAAACATAGGCACCAACTGTTGTCTACATATGAATCTCTTTAAGGAGTACACAACAAACTCACACACACACACACACACACACACAAACACACATGTATACATATAACCCCTAATCGTTAGGCCACTTATGCAGATACAGAAACCCTCAAATGCATTGAAAGCTACATGAGCATAAAAGAGCAAACTGCTGTCGAAACATTTATTCAGTAAGACCTTAGGACATGTTGCTTAATTTATATTTTTTAATTTATAGACGAATCAAATTCAATTGCATCAAAATGATATAATATGTATATCCCGTCATTTCAATTGCTAAGAAATCGTTTAACTTGTGCATTCTCTGCTAGATTCTCAAATGAAAGGATATCACGCTCTAGACATTGCCGCTTTTCATTCTAAGCTTTTATTAGATAGCTCTTGCTGGGAGTATTTGACAAGCAGATACCCTATCACCCCGATTTTTGATTATTAATAAAAATAATAAGAGGGAAGCGCTTATTTTTCATCAAACAAACATGTATGCGTTCTCTAGCCATGGATGCCAGACCAAGAGCTAACGTTACGAACATTCTGGCAAATTTGATGTCTTTATATTCTGAGATGACTTATATACTTTATGGAACCGGAGATGTGTTCTTCTGCCTATTGCAAGCATTCGCAAAACCATTATAACCTTTTTGCCAACTTGCGAAGGGCTCAGGGTATACAAAATGTTCATTGGTCCAAAATCATATCTTGACACGTATTGTATTTATTTATGTGTCACGCTCATTTTGTATGCCATATTTTGTGGCACATTCTCGTAATGCGTCACACAGCCGCAAAACAAATCTTCAATATTTACTTTGTTTTTTTTTTCTGTCAGCTTTCCTTTGTTTTTACGACAGCAATTAAATTGCCGAATTTGATTTAATTTATTTTATTGATAATAAAAAGTGAAAAATCTTAAAAGGCTGCCTCGCTGTTCGTCCGCACGGCATTACATAAAATTTGATTTTATTTGCTTCCCATTTGCCTCCCGAAGCACCTTCCCCTGCCCCAGCTGCAATTTCAACTTCAGTATGCAAATGCGGGCATTGCGCGCTTGTCACATTGGAAAATTGAAAATCCTTTTATGTGCAAAACGTGACAAACGATTTTAGATTTTATGCCCCTTGACGATGCATAAATATAGAAACTTGAAGTGAACCTTTAAAAGCATCGGCGTTTCATACAAAAATGCATTAAAAATATTATCCGAGTGACAGCAACCATAG